ACGCCTCCGCCGTTTTGAACACGACGTGGTATTCTAACCACAACAAACTCTACGTCGCTGGGCAGGAGCGCAGGATTTAACTGAAGCACAGGACAAACCAACATCAAATAAAACAGGCCTATGGTCAGACATCACATTATAATATAGTTCCAGGTCGTTCACAGACAAGCCGTGAGAGAAAACCAGGTCCAACATGTGTCCATGTTCATGTGTGGGACCAGCCACCCACTGAACCAGGTTAAATGAGTCAGTGAGGCTGAGATAGTCCTTCACCAGTGGTTTCTCTGGACTCGATCATAATTTATCATTATTCCAGTCAGGAAATCAGAAAAGTCATTCAAGAAATCCTTATCATATTTAGGGGCTCTGTAGATGACAGCGCACAGCACGGGGTGTGAGCGACCCACCTCAAATAAAGTCACCTCGAAGCTGGAGAATGAAGACTGTGCAGAACACTGCTTGCATTTAAAGTTGTTTTTATAAACCACCACCGTGCCTCCTCCATGGCCTGACATCCGAGGGGAGCTTAGATAAGAGCAGCCGTCTGGTAGAAGTTCAACAAAAACACTGGAGTCATCAGCCTCAACCCAGGTCTCTGTGATGCAGAGCAAATCCAAATGACGGGAACTGAAAAAGTCCCGCAGGATGAAAGTTTTGTTTGTCAGAGATCTGGCGTTCACCAGGCCAATCCTGGCAGAAACCACAGCATGTAAACTGACGGGCGCTAGGGCCCGGGGCAGCATCTTCAGGCTCTGCAAGTTCACTCCACGCCGGTGGAGCCGAGAGAAGCAGGAGGGGTGGGGGCGAACACTCGCATCCAGGCCGGTGACAGGTAGCAGGCAGCTGTCAACAGGATCCAGGAAACGCCAAGGCACAGAGAAAGACAGAAATAATCAATTTCTTGTCTGAGAAATGGACGTAGAACGGGCCAGGCAGATCTTTAGTTTCACCAGCTGTCCTCCACGTTTACCGCGGTAACGACGACGTTTCCGCCGGGGGGCAGCACAGGTGCCCGGAGGAGATGAGCTGG